AGGAAAGAGAGACAAAGAGAGAAAAAAAACAGGGAGAGACAAAGAGAGAGAGAGAAAAAAGGAGACATGGAGACAGGAAAACACAGAGAAAGACAGAGAAATAGGGTGAGACTGAGAAAAACAGGAAGAGACAGGGTGATAGAGAGAAAAAAAGAGACAGACATATAGATAGAAAAAATACATAGACACATGGGGTTTTAAATCATTCTATATGCAACCTGGAGAGCAGAGGGAGAAATTGTTCCCTTATTCAACAGCAAGACATCCTTCAAGTCAAAATTGGAAAAAAGTGATTTTTTCGTTAAAATCTATGAGAGGATTGTCCTTTTAAACAGTGTTTCTCTCCTAATGGTTCGAACGCGTCCCTGTCTAATCAAACCCGGGTTCCACTGCTCATTTTCAGCCTCTAGTCCCTAAGCTATCCCCTGGCGTCCAGTGTTCCCCTTTGGTTTCATCGCAGTTACGCTCTCCAGGGCTAGACAAGTTTAAGCTCATTTCCCTGATGCTATGGTTATGGTTATGACAGCTTAGAAATATCTTGAAAAAATAGACAATCACTAGAATTCCTAATCACCTTTGAAAAATAGTAATACATGGGCAAAGACTGCTAAGGGTCTAGCTCTTTTTGGTTGCCCTGGCCAAATGAGTTATAATCTGTGAATGGCTACAGTGGAGGATAAGGCTACTGGCACCCTAGCTTAACTCTTTTCCAACCACAGCAGAGTCTAACTGCTACTAGCACACTGGCTTAAGACATCTAATCACAGCAGAGAACTGATAGTGATACCATAGCTTAAGAAAGACTTTCCCAGCCGCACCAAAGAACTAATAATGATACTCTGGCTTAAGACTTTTCCAACCACAGCAAATTATATATATATATATATATATGTGTGTGTGTGTGTGTGTGTGTGTTTGTGTGTGTGTGTGTGTGTGTGTGCGTGTGTGTGTGCGTGTGTGTGTGTGTGTCGTAATAACTTCGTATAGCATACATTATACGAAGTTATACGAGTGTGTTTGTGTGGGTGTGCGTGTGCGTGTGTGTGTGTTTGTGTGTGTGTGTGTGTGTGTTTGTGTGTGTGTGTGTGTGTGTTTGTGTGTGTGTGTGTGTGTGTTTGTGTGTGTGTGTGTGTGTGTGCGTGTGTGTGTGTGTGTCGTAATAACTTCGTATAGCATACATTATACGAAGTTATACGAGTGTGTTTGTGTGGGTGTGCGTGTGCGTGTGTGTGTGTTTGTGTGTGTGTGTGTGTGTGTGCGTGTGTGTGTGCGTGTGTGTGTGCGTGTGTGTGTGCGTGTGTGTGTGTGTGTCGTAATAACTTCGTATAGCATACATTATACGAAGTTATACGAGTGTGTTTGTGTGGGTGTGCGTGTGCGTGTGTGTGTGTTTGTGTGTGTGTGTGTGTGTGTTTGTGTGTGTGTGTGTGTGTGTTTGTGTGTGTGTGTGTGTGTGTATAATCATTATAAATATAAAAGATCATAAATATATGATTACATTATACAGACATATTCATTCCTGTTCCTCAAGTTACCTCTCGTTCTCCGAGTCCCTCCCTAATAGATCGCTCACATCCACGGTTCGCAGATGCTCCTTAGACTCAAAGTAATAGTAGCATTCCAGCCACTGCTATGGCGAATAGGAGTACACTCACACCTACAGGATCCTCCGTGCTTGACGAGGATTCTTGACTTGAAGCTTCTGAGGGAGCCTTGGCGTCTGGGTCTTGGGTTGATGGAGCTTTGGTGGCCAGGCGTTCTGTCGAGGGATGGTTAGAGTCTGAGTGGTGAGTTGAAGGAACTTTGGAGTCTGGAGGATCAGTGGAAGGAATTTTTGGATCAAGGTTTTCAGTTGAAGGAGGTTTTTGGTCTAGATTTTCAGTTGAGAGAGATTTGCCGTCTGGGTTTTCAGTTGAAGGAGCTTTCGAGTCCGGCTGCTGGGTTGAGGGAGCTTGGGTGCCTCGCTGTTGAGTCGACGGAGGATCTGATTTGTGGGAGTTATCGCAATCGTCATTAATATCTTATCATGTCTATTTGTCTTGGCTGTGTTTTCATACTGTGACGTCATTATCCGTTATAAAAATCTGCTTTCAATACAACTTCGGCATTTCCACTATTCGTCTCACATAGATAGTTACCTAGCCATTGCTTATAAATAACGCTTTCCCGTCAACAGAAATAAGCGAAACTTCCTCTGTCACTACATCATAAAAAATAAAAAGAAATAAAGAAAGAAAAAACAACATAAAAAATAAAAAGAAAGAAAGAAAGAAAAAACAAAAGAACTGACCTGCTGTGGTCGACTCCATCCCCGGGCAACTGAAGAGGCTTCCCTTAGGCACTTCATCAGGACACTCTTCACTCCAATCGGCAAGACCCTCATAGGACGCATGGTGATTCAGCAGTTTCTGGCCAGCGCAGCAGGTGAACTCTTTGTCGGGATAAGATGAGACACGAAGAACAACGTTTTGGGCGTCGTTCTGTTCGGAGCAAATTATGAGGTGATATATTTACGCACATAACACACACACACACACACACACACACACACACACACACGCACACACACACANCCATAACACACCATCCACCAACACCTCTTCCTACCCAACAACAACAACAACAACAACAGGAGGGAACCCCTTACCTGAGCAGAAGGTTCGTGCTTCCCTGCAGTGGATGCGCCAGCGTGGACCCCCCGGGTACATACGTCGGACGGGGCTCCTCCAGTCTTCACTACTGGGGTGGGGGTGGGGGTGTGGGGGTTGAGCATGGGGTAGGGGGGTTGAGGAGGGGGGATTGGTATTTAAAGGGTTATAACATTGAGAATAAAAGAGTCCTTGATTATGATAATGATGATTATATTGATGAATTATAATGATCAATTTATGATCTTAACGATGTATTGATAGAATAAATGTAATAATCAGTTATAGTAACATTCTTCTCTTTATACGAAAAATACTTACATTAACATACAATATGATAATTGTGATAAAACTCATTGACTCGATAGGAAATAAAAATGATAATTAATCAGCAAGACAATGAAAAAATACAGTAACAACAACATGATAACTGTGATAATAAAATCATAGAACAATAATAATAAAACAACAATTAATAATATATACGAAATAATTCCTTACTCACCATGATCATAATCAATCAAATAAAATGTTGAAATCCCATGCAAATATAATATGACTAATAAAAATAAAATAATAAACTAATAATAAATAATAATAATAAAAATATGACTGTGAATACAAGCACTGTTTTCCTCTATGAAATCAGACACAAAGAACAGTTAAAAGAACAAGTCATTGGATCAAGTGAAAACCAGAGAAGAGAAAAAAGTTAAAATAAATAAAATAAATAAATTCTCTCTCTCTCTCTCCTCCCTCTCTCCTCTTCTCTTCTCTCTGTCTCTCTCCTCCCTTTCCCTTCCCTCCTCTCTCTCTCTCTTCTCTCTCCTTCCCTCTTCTCTTCTCTCTCTCTCTCTCGCTCTCCTCTCTCTCTCTCTCTCTCTCTAAAAACAAAAAACAAAAATAAAATATTAAAAATAAATAAATAAAATAAGAAATAAAATCGAGATAGCAGCAATAAAATTTGGTTCTCTGATAAGATTAAGTTCTATCAGATTCATTACTCTCTCTGTGAGAATGCATCCTAAACCTGTTGTATTTATGGATGTTTTACATATCTCTGTTCCATATTGAGGAATATTCTCATTTATGACTATGTAGTATCTTTATTTAATAAATTTTAGTGTTTTTTTATAATTTATGTTGAGTCGTTTTTTTTTCAACACGAGTATTTTCGTTTCATATATATATATTATATATATATATATATATATATATATATATTTACTATATATATATATTATATATATATATATAATTTAGGATTTTTTACATTTTATGATTTCCATTCTCCCTAACACTATGGAATCTTTCAATTCATAAACGAGTATTTTAATATCATAATTTTGGTTATAATAAGGATTTTACACTTTCCTGTGGTCACAAGATGGTTGAAAATAAACGAAAAATAATTATACAGTCACTGGATGGAGAAAAAGAGAAAATAATTATAATAAGTCACAAGATAATTATGATATTGATAGTGATGTAATATTATTTTCCAAAATTTATCATCATAACAGTGACACAAAATACATTATCCGTATGACTACAACACCAAATTAATTATCTGTGTGACTACAACAACCTAAACTTAATTACCTGTTTAGTAGGACTACAACACCAAATTAATTACCTGCTTAGTATGACTACAACACCAAATTATTACCTGTTTATCAATGATACAACACAAAATTAATTTCTGTTCAATGTGCTACGTCACAAATTAATTATCTGTTCATATGGCTACGTCACAAATTAATTACCTGTTTTAGTATGACAAACACCTATATTTATTACCTGCTTAGTATGTTACAAACACAAATAATTACCTGTTTAGTACAAACAACACAAATTTTTCATTGCCTGTTTTTAGCATGACTACAACACAAAATTAATTACCTGTTTGTTAATATGACTACAACACCAAAATTAATTACCTGTTTAGTAAATGACAACACCATATTTATTACCCAGTTTATCATGACTACAGCACCAAATTAATAACCTGTTTATCATGACTACAGCACCAAATTAATTACCCGTTTAGTACAACACAATATTTATTCATTACCTGTTTAGTAGGCCTACATCACAAAATCCATTACTTCTTTATTATGACAACAACACAAAATCTATTACCTGTTTAGTATGACAAGACTAGAATTCAGGCGCATTTCGTTGACAGGTGGCATGTCATCAGGACAGAGACCGCTCCTTCTGCATTCCCAGTCAGTTCTACGAATGAGATGAAAAAGCCTTTGAGAAAACAGACATGGGGAGGAGGAAGAAAACGGAGATGAAAGAGAAAATGGGAATTTTTTGAGAGAAAATGGGAATATTGCAAAAGAAAATATTTGGAAAGAAAATAGGAATATTGCAAAAGAAAATGGGTAAAATTTTGAAAGAAAACGGAGATGAAAAAGAAATTGGGAAATTTTTTGAGAAAGAGAAAATGGGAATATTGCAAAAGAAAATGGGTAAAATTTTGAAAGAAAACGGAGATGAAAGAAAATGGGAAATTTTTTGAGAAATGGGATATTGCAAAAGAATATTGGTAAAATTTTGAAAGAAAACGGAGATGAAAAAGAAAAAAGTTTTTTGAGAGAAAATGGGAATATTGCAAAATTAAGAAAATGGGAAACTTGCAAAACTAGGAGAATGGAATAACTTGCAAGTAGGTAAATTGGATAATTACAAAAGAAAGAAAATATGAATATTGTAAGACAGTGAAAGTAAATGGGAATAGTTATAAGTTGAAACGCTAATATTGTATAAGAAAAGGAGAATATTCTGAAAGTATAAGAAATAAAAGTGCTGATTGAGTAAGAAAACGGAAATTTTGTAAAAGAAAACGGGAATATTGATTATAAGAGAAAATGGGAATACGTAAAGAGAGAGAGAGAGAGAAGAGAGAAGAGAGAGAGAGAGAGAGAGAGAGAGAGAGAGAGAGAGAGAGAGAGAGAGAGAGTAGAGAGACAGAGAGAGAGGAGAGAGAGAAGAGAGAGAGAGAGAGAGAGAGAGAGAGGAGAGAGAGACGAGAGAGAGAAGAGAGAGAGAGAGAGAGAGAGAGAGAGAGAAGAGAGAGAGAGAGAGAGAGAGAAGAACGGAGAGAGAGAGAGAGAGAGAGAGAGAGAGAGAGAGAGAGAGAAGAGAGAGAGAGAGAGAGTGGAGAGAGAGAGAGAGAGAGAGAGAGAGAGAGAGACGAGAGAGAGAGAGAGAGAGAGAGAGAGAGAGAGAGAAGAGAGAGAAGAAAGAGAGAGAGAGAAGAGAAAGAGAGAGAGAAGAGAGAGAGGAGAGAAAAGAGAGAAAAATAGAGAAATAGAAGAGAAAAAACAGAAAACAGAAAAAAAAAACAGAAAGCGATAAAAAATAGAAAAAAAAAAAAACATTTAGAAAGAGAAAAAAAAAACAACAAAAGAAGAAAAAGGGATGAAAACAGAAAAAGAAAGAAAGAAAGAGAAAAAAAAGAGAAAAAGCCTACACGTAATCCCAGTGCCGTATCGGAAGACCGCGGGATGCTGCCACTTCGCCCAGGGCATTCGCCAACCTCTGGCCGAAGGTAAGAGGGTGCTCGAAGGTAAACACGGGAGCCACGCTGAAGGAGGGGAAGGTGGGGTTCCCTGCGAGGTCAGACTGGGGTCCTACGAGTCCCAGAGGTGACACGTAGATGAAGGGAACTGTGGTAGGGAGGGAGGAAGGGAGGGAGAGAGGGGATTAACGGTGTGGGTATTGTGGGTTGGGGTAATTTGGGTTGTCGGGTGGTGTGGGGTATGTTGGGTAGGGGTAAGGATTTTGGTGTCGGGGTGTGGGTTTAATGGTGGGTAGGGGTAAATCTTGTCGCGCGTCGGGGTGTGTGGGTAATGGTGGGTTGGGGTCAATTTGGGTGTCGGGGGTGTGGGTTATTGTGGGTAGGGGTAAATTTGGGTGTCGGGGTGCCTGTGGTAAATTGCCTCCTGTCGTAGGTTCGTAAGTTTTGAGTGTCGGGTTTGTGTGGGTATCGTGGGTAGGGGCTAACTGATGTTGGGTGTCGGGCGTTGTTGGTGTATGTTGGGTAATGGGTATAATCTTGGGTTCCGGGATGGTTGTGGTGGGTATGGTGGATAGCTGGGGTGCTATAATCTTGGCGCTGTTCGGGGTGTGGGTATGTGGGTTAGGCGCGTGATTTGGGTGTCGGGGTGTAGTGGGTATGGTGGTGTACGGGGTATTTAGAGTGATAGGGGTGTGGTTCCGTTTATAGTGGTGGTCTGGGAGTGAGATTTGGGTGTCGGGTGTGGGTAGGTGTGGGTAGGGTAAATTTGGGTGGCTTGCGGGGTGTGGCTAGTGTGGGTAAGGGGTGAATTTGGGTGTCCGGGTGTGGGTATGTGGGTTTTAGTGGGTTAAATTTCTGGGTGTCGGGGTGTGGGTATGTGGGTAGGGTTGTAACTTTGGGTGTCGGGGGGTGTGGGTATGGTGGGGTAGGGGTAAATTGGTGTGTCGGGGGGTGTGGGGTAGGGGTAAATTTGGGTGTTCGGGGTGTGGGTATGTGGGGTAGGGGTAAAATTTTGGGTTCCCCGGGGTTGGGTATGTGGGTAGGGGTAATTTGGGTCGGGTCGGGGTGTGGGTATGTGGGTAAGGGGGTAAATTTGGGTGTCGGGGTGTGGTATGTGGGTAGGGGCGTTTGGTCGGGGGGTGTGGGTATGTGGGTAGGGGTAAATTTGGGTGTCGGGGTGTGTGGGTATGTGGGTAGGGGTAAGTTTGGGTTCGTGGTGTGTGGGTAAATGTTTGGGTGGGTTGTCGGGGGGGGTGTGGGTATGTGGGTAGGGGGTAAATTTGGGGTTGTGGGGTGGTGGGTATGTGGGTAGGGGGTAAA